TTAAAAAAAAAAAAAAAGATTGGGAAATCTACTTCCGTAGTGATTCTGCCTCGGCAACCCAAGGAGAGGTTGCTATGAGACAGGGCCGACTCGATGGCACATAACAACAACAATACAACAATAAGCCTGTTGCACAGTGGTTAAATGCTCGGCTGCTAACAGAAAGGTTGGTAGTTCCAACCCACTAGCAGCACCAGAGGAGAAAGATGAGGCAGTCTGCTTCTGTAAAGTTTTACAGCTTTGGAAACCCTGTGGGGCAGTTCTCCTCTGTTCTATAGAGTCACTATGAGTCGGAATTGATTCGATGGCAATGGGTTTGGCTTAATACAATAACAGATACAAGCCAAGCAAATTGCTTTAGATATTGTTTTCATAAATCTGGTATTTGCTACCATATACCTTATAAAAACATTGTTGTTGTTGTTGTTGTTATGTGCCGTCGAGTCGGCCCCGACTCATAGCGACCCCTCCTTGGGTTTCCGAGGCAGTATCACTACGGAAGTAGGATTGCCCAACCTTCCTTCCGAGGAGTGGCTGGTGGGTTTGAACCGCCAACCTTCTGGTGAGCAGTCAAGTGCCTTAGGCACTATGCTACCAGAGCTCCTATAAAAACATTAGACAGAATTAAATAATATTCTGAGGAGCTGAGAAACATTGCAATAATTAAAACTGGAAAAATATTGGGACTTGAATGGGTAGCTAAAACAGTAAAAGTTAGAACTGCAAAAGCAGTTTGGAAATCATATTGAGCCTGATAGATTCATTTTTATGTTGTTGTTGTTCATAGTTTCTGTCAAAGACATTGTAAAATAGGATAAAACATTTAGGAAATGACTATGTGTGTATGTATCTTTCAGTTATTTGACTGTGATATTCTAGTAGTTACAGCAATACTATCTTGAACTATTTGAGAAAAAAAATGTTTCAGTATTGAACTTGACAGATAATGAATAAATGTACAAAATCAAGTAAAGGAAACTATAAAAGTAAAGGAAGAATGAAGAAACTTGCCATTTGAAATAAAAACAAAATACCTATGTAAGAGAAAACTAATTGTATGAAAATGTTTTGGGTTTTAATGACTAAGTGAGAAATACAATCCATTTTTAAGATATTTTAAAATTTTGAATCCTGAAGCTTTGTGAAATAATGTTTGTAAAACTCAGAGGACTGGAGGGAAATAAAAATTAAGAAAATTTGGAAAACTAAATACAACATTCAGTAAATTATGTCCGTGATTTAGCTGATAAAACTGATGTATAGAATACATACAAAAATCTCTGTCATCAGGACTAGACAGACTGTGAGTGCAGTTACTTCTGTTGATAGCTGCCATCAAGTCTGTCCCCAATCGTGCCGCCCAGTGTGCAATGGAACAAAATGGTGCCCACCTGCAGATTGACAGAGGGGTTTTTCCCTTGCTCTTTTTCTTTCGCCATACAATTTTGATTGGCTGATTTTTGTAAGTAGATTGCCAGGCCTTTCCTCTAAGATATGACCTCCTAAAAAAGGCTGTTATCACACTGAACTAGTTACCTTGATTGATTCCATGTCTGTCACATACATAATTTTTATTTTTAATTATTTAGTTTATTTGTCCATTTCCTTTTTTAAACAAGTGTGTCTTCCAAGTACAATATAAGCTTTATGAAGACAGGAATTCTAGTTGTTTTATTTAAGTTACACCTTCTGTATCTAAAATAATGTCTGCCACATACAAAGTACTAAATATTTATTGAATGGATGAACGAATCCTCACCAGCTTTGTAGATATCCAGTAGAGTTGCAGTGTACTTGACAAAAACACTTTCTTCAGTGATGGATGTGATGCTAACTTGGTAAGCTGGTAAAAACAAAACAAAACAAGCCATGCTTAATGTCACTCATGTTCAACAGAAGACAGAATTTGTCACACAAATGGGAAACAAAGCATGACAACTCTTAGGGGCATCATAAGGGAAATTTTAATTTCTTCCAAGAAAAAAAAACCCCACAAATCAAACTCACTGCCATTGAGTCGATTTGACTCATAGCGACCCCTCCTTAGGTTTCCTAGGCGGCATCGTGGCGTAGTGCCTAAGGCATTTGACTGTTAACCAGAAGGCTGGTGGTTCAAACCCACCAGCCACTCCTCAGAAGGCAGGTTGGGCAATCTATTTCCATAGTGTTACCACCTCAGAAACCCAAGGAGGGGTCACTATGAGTCAGGTCCCACTCGAGGGTACGTAACAACAACATCTCTATGGAAGTAAATTGGTGAATCTTCCTTCCAAGGAGTGGCTGGTGGGTTTGAACCACCAGCCTTCTGGTTAGCAGTCAAAGGCCTTAGGCACCACACTACCCATATCCCTTTAGTCTGATTTAAACACTCAATCTACCTTAGAATCATTAACCCATGGCCATTGCAGGCTAATAAGAGTAAGAGTCAAGTTAAATAAAAAAACAACAACAACAAAACAGAAGCACACAACACAACCAGATAAACCTTTGTTAGATGTGAAGTTCAGCTCCTAAGGCTTTAGGATTAGTGGAGGGGTGCCCGTGGGAGGGGGGTGAGGTGGCATGGCACAAGCTGCCACATGGCTGTGGAGTCAGGGTGAGAGGGTACTTCATCATTCAGGTATGCCACGTGAGCCTTTTTATTCCTTCCCTCAACCCTGGTTTATTTTCATTCAGGCATTGATGTTCAGTCCATGGTATGTGTGACCTCCGCTCTGGAATGACAAGCTTCAAAGGGCCTAGCCTTTCTGTGTGGCTTGAGAAAAGATCCCTTTTATTTTTGCTTTTGATGGGATTGAAGCAAATGACCTAAAATGTTTGTATAGTTTGGAGATACTCTCAATCTATGAGATTCTCAGCATCAGACAGGTAGGTAGGTAGATAGGTAGATAAGTAGACAGGCAGATAGATGAACTCACCATGGCAGAACCAAAGACTACAAATTAGTAGATTACAATGGATGAAAAATGTCCTGAATTTCAGAAACTATGAACATCGAAACCGGGGGTAGATAATAAAAGAGCTAATTTGATAGGGTGCCTGAGGCAAGACTGCTACTGTTTTGCGCATTTGATTCATCTATAAGCTCTAGCCACCAGAAGGAGTTCCTCTGTTTGAAACAGGGAGGGTCTCAACCATTGACTACACTTTGCACATATTAAAATTATTTAATAAATTACATTTTAACCTTGTCTTTGAAAAGATTTGTAAAAAAATTAAAATCCCCAAATCACCTTTGCCTCTGCTGAATCAACTGGAAGACTATAGTTCTGAAATCTTATATCTCTGTGGCTTCTCAAAAGGTCCCTTTGAATATGTTTAAGTGTCTATAATTCAAAAGGATCTATTGAGGTAAAGTGTCTTGGCTGGGTGTGCATGTTACTCCTATTATTTTAAATAAAAATCACGTTTCTTTACTAAAGAATATATAATTTGCATGTTCATGCTGAAAATATATGGCATTTTTCTTTGGGGGCACGCATGGAATGTTGTATCCATATAATCACTATGTAAAGTTTTTGATCTTTCTAACTGATTATGTATTCATAAATTTCATGTTTAAAGGAACTATATATTGAATGTTTGAACTTACCATATGCAATCTCTGGATCACATGCTGTTTCTTTTCTAGTCTCTGCAGAGATTGTCAGATCTAATTCTTTCTGCATTTGCCCACAGTCCGCTGGATTTTGTGGAAAATGGTAAAAGTTAAATTAAAAGTAAAGAAGCAGACACTCTCTTTGGGAATAATGGTTTCTCATGAGCCCTGCAACAATCCCAATACAATCTTATAAATACCAGATTCCTAAGACCTGTCATTTCCCTTTCTTCTAGAAAGTGGAACACTACATAAAGCAAAAGAAAACAAACAAACAAAAAACAAAAGCAAAAACAAAAATAAAGTCCTGAACATAAGGTTTAGATTAAGGTGGTCACTTCCCAGCACTCCATGCACATTCAGCTCTTTAGAAATGGATTTGTTTCCCTTGAAGAAAAGGGTAGTTTTTCCATTATGAGTATGATCAAAAGTCGTATGTCCCTTGAAGGACCCAAGAATGACAATTTGACTGATTTATATCTGTAAGATGGTATAATAAGTATCTGGGGAATGTGTAGATATGAAGGATTTTGAAAAAGAAGAAAAAAACATAAAAGACAACTCAGAACTTCATGGAACCACTTGCTGATTATTGGTGGGTTCTAGAGCTTTTCCTTGGCCAAGAAGGCTATCTTAGATTTACTAAAGACTGAATGAAAGTGGGCAGTAAACAGAGAATTATATTAACTGGGAAGGATGATGTGAAAGGAAGGGGGCTGGCGGTTTAGTCCCAAGCCTCTGTTCCCTCAGGCTGGGCTCCTATTATTTTAAAAAAGACTTGATGAAAAGTAAACTATCCATTAATATTCAGACCCTGTTAACCCTATGATACCCAACAACTGTCTTTGTGGCATCTCTCTGCCCGAACAGTATAAACCATTAGATGGTTCAGGGATTGCAGAGAAATAGCTTTACAATGTTCAAGGAATCATTAGCTTGCAATCAGCTCAGATGGTATTTCTACTTCTAAGAAATGACATTTTGCCACAAAGTTTCCTCCATAAGGCTGCTTTAAGCAAGTATGCAGCCTCAACATGTTACACAGAGCTTACCTTCTACACATTGGCATGTTGTTCCTTCACAGACTTTCTGCAGTTTGGTGTAGGAAGGGCTATAAAACATGGTGCACTGTTTATCTGTGGCAATGAAAGCACAGTTAAAAGAAGTGGCTTGATTGCTGCACAACGTATTCATTGGTTGGCTAATCTCTTCCACAGGGGATCGTCTATTCCAAACCCCCTTTTTATAGCGAAGGCCCAAGGAGATTAAATTACTTTCCTGTCAGCATACTGAGATTGTGATGGAGCAAATGTGAGGATGCAGGTCTGTTTCGACTGTTCACTTGCTTTCAAAATTTCCTACTATTTATCATGCTAGTCGGATCTGACTCAACGGCAGTGAGTTTGGTTTGGTTTGCTTTGGGATGGATTTAAAATCATCCTCCATGTAGCTGGCTCTGTGGTGAACTGTTGGAATGTTCTATTACCAATCAATCCCTTCACACAAGAGGGATAATCCAACAAACGGTATGAGAACAACTGGCAAGTCATCTGAAAATCAAAAAGTGGAATTCCTACCTCATTTCCTAGACCAGAAAAAATCCAGATAGAGAGTATCTAAATGTGAAAAAAAAAAAAAAAAATCTATGGAAAGGCTATAAAAATATAATTAAAAGATAATCTTTGTGTAAGGATACTTTTTCTAAGATGCAGGATCAGAAATGATAGAACATCTGATTAAATGAAAAATAATATGTTAAAAATATATTTATATTTTAATATTAAATATAATATTAAAATATAATAAAGTAAAAATAGAATAAACTGGGGAAAATATTTGTAATACATATAGCAAGGCAATCTTAAGGAGACAACAATGGTGTAATAGATGAGATGGTTTAACTTGTAACATTCTGCTAAGCATTAGAGGTTAAACAGCTAATGGAAAATAGATGCTTTGAAAGTGTAGCTCATTTGGGGTGACATTAAATAGGGCAGAGTTGGCCTTATCTTTACCTGGGAAAGACGGTATGAGCTGGCTGCCTCGGGAAGGACTACTCTCCCCTCAAAATGATCTCCTCTAGTTGCCTAGTTAAATGCTTGAAATTTTACTGTATAATATCCATTTCTTAGGGTGTAACACCCATTTTTCTTTTTGGGTGCTTCCTTGAATGAGAGGGAAATAAAAACCAAGCAAACCCACTGCCATCAAGTTAATTCCGACTCACAGCAACCCCCATTGGGTTTCCAAGGCAGTAAATTTTTATGGAAGTAGATTGCCCAGTCTTGCTTCCATGGAGTGGCTTGTGGGTTTGATCCACCAACCTGGTTAGCAGCCAGAGGCCTTCGGCACTGTGCTACCAGAGCTCCTTAAGAGGAAAATAAATATGTTAAAAAAAAAAAAAGTAAAGTAAAAAGAGAATCTATAGATTGAGAAAAAAAAATATTTGGCAAAGACATATCCAACAAGGGACTTATCTCTACAATTTATAGAAAACTTCAATACCTCAACATCAAAAAGACAAACAATCCAATTCAAAAATGGGGAAAGGACATGAACTGACACTTCACCAAAGAGGATATTTATGCAGCCAATAAACACATGAAGAAATGCTTGTGATCATTAGCCATTAGAGAAACGCAAATCAAAACAATGATATATCAACTCACTCCGACAATAATAGCAAAGTTCAACAGGACCGAAAACAACAAATGCTGGTGAGGGTGTGGAGAGATTGGACCTCTTATACACTGCTGGTGGGACTGTAAAATGGTACAACCACTGTGAAAAACAGTATGGCACTTCCTTAAGGAGTTTGAAGTAGAAATACCATTTGATCCAGCAATTACTAGGAATATATCCTAAAGAGATGAGACCCAGGACATGAAAAATATATGTATACCCGTGTTCATCATAGCACTATTTACAGAGAGATGGAAACAACCTAAGTGCCCGTCAACAGATGAATGGATAACTAAACTATGGTACCTCAACACAATGGAATACTATGCAACACTAAAGAATAACAAAGAATCAGCAAATCACCTCATAATGTGGATGAAATTGGAAGACATTATGCTGAGTGAAATAAGTTAATCATAGAAGGACAAATATTGTATGAGTCCATTATTATAAAAAGCCAAGGAAAAGTTTACACAGGGAAGAAAATTTTCTTTGTTTTTTACCAGGGATGGCAGGGGAGGGCAAGGGAGAAAAAATAGATGGATAATTAAGAGACAGGCTGAAAAAAAAAAAAAAGAAAGAAAATAAATGTTACCTGAGGATCTACTGAAAGAATTTTAATTGTTTAGGTTGGAGAAAAGAAGAAACGCCTACATATATATAGCAAGCGAAGAAGAGCTAGGTATATTCTATGTGATTTCAGAAGATAAAACTAGAATAAATGGGTATCAATATGGTTCAATATGAAAATTTCCTCACAATTAGTTCTGTCCAAAGTGGAACAGCCTGCCCTGTGGACTAATGACCCCTCTAATCATTTAGCATTCTCAGAAATGGATGGATGATCAAATGTGGGGTCATTCACCCAACAAATAATTATTGCGTATACAATATGTACCCGACACTATGTTAGATACTAGGGACACAAAGATGAAGATGAGTATTAAGGGTTGGTGAGAAAGATATTTAAACAAATAATTATAATGCAATGTGACAACTGCTAAAATATAACTATCTGCAAAATGTGATAAGAACACAGATGGAGTAGATGTTGATTCTGGAAGTTTTTTAGATTGATTCTAGTAGTTGATTCTGGAAGGATTAAAGCAATGGAAGGCTAAGTAAGCTTCTCAAAAAAGAGGAGATGAACACCAAAGATAAACTTGGGGTGAAGAATTTTGAAGTTGGGAGCATAGTGGTGCAATGATTAACTGAAAGTCATGCAGTAGTTTTTATGTCCAAGTTGAGACTTGGTGATTTTGTGACAAGTGAGCCCCAGGAGAGGCAATAATATATAAGAAACTAGCCTCTAGTAGATTTCTAAAAACTCTAAAAAACCAAACTCACTGCTATTGAGTAGCTTCTGACTCATAGAGACCCCCTTTGGGTTTCCAAGGCTGTAAATCTTTATGGAAGCAAATAACCTAGTTTTCCTTCCACGGAGTGGCTGGTGGGTTTGAACCACCGACCTTCAGGTTAGCAGTCAAATGCATTAGGCAGTATGCCACCAAAGCTCCAGATTTCTAAAGGTTTTGTAAGTAATAGAAAGCAGTCTCCTGAAGAAAATTTAAACTTGTGCTGATTACCTGGTTTGTGGTATTCATACACTGTGAAAGTAGCGGGACTCATAAATCCAACTTGAAAAATTTCAAATATCCGGAAACGGACACAAAGGAACTCATTGGTGGGAATCTGTTTGACAAATTCAAGGATTTACGGATATCATAGGAAAGAACAGACTTACAACATTTTAGCTTATAAATTGTGAATAGCAGTGGTAAAGGAAAAATGGGGGAGAAGGGTAGAGCTTACCGAATTCACCTGCAGAATAACATGTCCATCTTTGATTTGGTAATCAGCTAATAGTTGGTCCACCCCTTCCACAAGCTGAGGGAGGAAAAAGTTTGAACTTAATTTCATTGCCACTTTCTTTAAATGCATTCACAGGTTGGTGGGATGTGAAATCACAGGGATGTGAAATCACAGGGAGGTGATACAACGTATAAAGGTATAAAGGCATTGCCAAGCAGTACCTCTTCCAGGCAGTCTGAACATATTACATGCACTTGATCTTTCAGATCATGCCACTATATGACTGCACTGCATTTTGGAAAATCAAAACTTAGGTAGATTGTTGGTTAGGATAGAATATTTTGGGTGATTTTATGAAAGTTATGTATTAAAACAAAAGTATAACTTTATCTGTAAAATAATGTAGGAAAAAAAAAGCATTGGAAATAATATTTAAAAGAAAACATTTACAGCTTTTAAATCTTCTGTGTTTGCGTTGATTCCAGTAGGCAGCGAGATATCTATCACTGCATGGGAGGATCCAGAGGAGGATTCGTCCTCACTAGATTTATAGCTAAAATAAATTAGAGATTAGAAAATGGAATAAATAAATGAGTAAGATTATTTAAGACAAGGCCCTATTCCTTAGTAGGCTTTAATTTTTAAATATGGATCTCTACTTTTTTGCTTGTCTACAATGCATATGTTGGAATCACTGAAATCTAGGCTTGCAAGAGACCTTTAGGTCATCTGTTCTAACTCTTCACTCATGTTCACAATAATATCAATGTGCCACCATTCTGGAGCAGAAAGGAATCATAGATGTCATCTATAAATTCAAGTTCTTACTTTACTAGCTGAGGATGAGAGTAAGGCACTTGTTCAAGGTCCATGGTATTATGGTTTGTATTATGTCCCCCTAAAATGTATATTGGAATACTAACCACTATACATGTGGATAAGGAGCCCTGATGACACAATGGTTAAAGCACTCCACTGCTAACCAAAAAAGATCAACAGTTCAAACACTAGCTGCTCCATGGGAAAGAAGACCTGGCCATCAGTTTCCATAAAGATGGTTGTGTTGTTGCGTGCTGTCTAGTCGATTCTGACTCACAAAGGACACAGTAAAACTGTCCCATAAGGTTTCCTAGACTGTAATCTTTACAGGAACAGATCACAAGGTCTTTTCTCCCTCAGAGCACCTAGTGAGCATGATGGTTATTTTTGTGTGTCAACTTGGCTGGGCCTGGTTGAGTGGCTGGGCAGCTGGTGGTAGTATTCCCCATGATGAGACTGGCAATCAACTACAAGCAGCTGAGTAGCTGCCTTTGGGATGTGGTCTGCTTCCTGTATATAAGGAGAAGCCTTGGGAATGGTCTCTAGCCTATGGCACGCTTGGACCCTGCATGCGGCCGTGTTATTGCTCAGCAGCCTGCTATGCTCTGCCAACCTTGGGACTTACAATGGACTTAAGTTACTGGCCTGCCATGTGGATCGGTAACATCGGGACTATGCCCTTTTACTCGTCAACCTTGGGGCTTCTCAGCCTCAGCGGCCAGCAGCTGTCTGAGTGAAGAAACGCCTCTAGCTCCAGTAGGCTGGGTGCAGGAGGCAGAGCTGGACCCAAAGGGTTGAGGGGCTTTCACACAGCCCCTAGAGCCTGGCACTTTGAACTTGGACTTAAAGCCTCCAAATTGTTAAGAATAAACTGTTTGTTAAGGCCATCCCATTTGTGGTATTTTCTTGTCAGAGTGGCACCAGGTAACCAGAACAGAATATGGCACTAGGTAACCAGAACAGTGGGTTTGAACCAATGACTATTTGGTTAGCAGACGAATGCTTAACCATTGCATTACCCATTAAAAACTACAGCCTAGGAAGCACTATGGGGCAGTTCTATTCTGCACTATATATAGGGTTGCTATGAGTCTGAGTCGGCTGGAGGGCGCACAACAACAACATACACGTGGATATCATCCCGACTGAAAATGGGGTTTTCTTTATTATGCTAATGGGGCTATGTCTTAAACCAGGCTGTGTATTAAACCAATCACTTTTGAGATATAAAAGGAGCAGCTTAGGCACACAGAAGCAAGCAAATACAGATAGGAGAAGACTGATGCCATGTCACATAAAGATCACCAGGGAACCAAGGAACAAAAGCTGAAAAGCGGTAAGGAACTTCCCCGAGAGCCGACAGAGAAAGCCTCGCCCTAGAGCTGGTGCTCTGTACTCAGAGTGCTAGCCTCCTAAACTAGGGAGCTCTGGTAGCATAATGGCTAAGGCACTTGACTGCTAACCAGAAGGCTGGCGGTTCAAACCCACCAGCAACTCCTTGGAAGGAAGATGGAGCAATCTACTTCCGTAGTGATACTGCCTTGGAAACCCAAGGAGGGGTCACTATGAGTTGGGTCCGACTCGACGGCACATAACAACAACAAGCCTCCTAAACCAGGAAAATAAATCTCTGCTCGTTAAAGCCACCCACCTGTGATATCTCTGTCATTACAACATGAAGAAACTAAAGCACATGGCTAGTTTATATCATGGTGGCATAAGAACCTAGGTCTCCTAATTCTCACTC